AAAATTCTGATTAATAGGAGAGAGAGAAGGCAGCACATGTGACAAATTTCTTGGAGAAGAAACAAAGATCAATGGCTAGGATTAAATTGGAACCGATGGCCAAGATTTGTTCTAGCTTTCTATAAATCCCCCTCCCCACCCCTCCATTTTGTCCTAAGCCATGGAAACCTTGGGGAAGCTCTTGCAAAATGGTTTCTAAAGAGAGAAAGAAGAGGAAGAAAGAAAGGTCAAGTGGTTCCAAGCCAGATCAAGCTCTAAAACAAGGTATGTGTGTCGTTTTTGATGTAGTTTCTACCTCCCTTGTTATTTTTAAGCCTCTTGGTTGGTTTGATTGGATTTTTGATTATTGAAATCCTATGGGGAGGTGCTGCACGAAATTTATTGGAATAGGGGAAGATGATATGGATGTTAAAAGCATGTTTAAAGGCTTGGAAACAACAAGAATCAAGTGGTTCTGTGTTGATTTTGCAAGAAATCCAATTTTCCCTTAGTTTGTGATTCTATTCGGCCTTGACTATTCTGAATGATTAGGATTAGATTTTGATTGTTTTGAGCTTGGAAATGGATTCTACATACAAAATTATGTGGGGATAGTATATGGAAATAATTTTAGGAAGGTTGGAATTGAAACTCAAAAGTTAAAGCTCAAGTGTTCAAGAAAGAATCAAGTAGAGATAAGTTGATGACTTGATTCTAATTATTGTTTTGCATCATGTATTGATGTGTTTAGGACCTTGGAACATCGAAGATGATGTTTAATGGTGTTGACCGAAAATCCATAGGATTGGAAAGATAAAGGAATCAAAGGAAAAGCAAAAGGAAAGCTATGTTACAAGGTAGTGAACTTACCTATATTGTGTGCTTGATATGTATGCTTGCATGATGTGGTTGTGTTGCCATGATGTGACTAAGCTATGATGAAATTTTTGCAAAGTTATGTTTGCAAGTTTATGTTATGTTTTGCCTTGGCAATATATTATGAAAGCATGAAATGCTTTAGCTTACTTTCCATGGCATTCATGTGTTAAGGTTATAACATGTCATGCATGTGCATTATGTCTTGCATGCTTATGGATAGTGTTTGCTACTAAGATTCTCCCAAATCTCACCCTTCCCTAACCAACTATTTAGGTCAATCAATAGTGGGTAATAATGGCACGAGAAGGCAAGAGAAGAAAGTGGAGAATTATTGACGTTAATGAATGATGTTATTATTCAATGTGTAATTCTCCTATTATGTAATTTATGTTATAGATGCCAATGATGCCGTGTATTTAATTACAATATTTATGGGATGAATAGAAATATATGAGGATGATTGGAAAAGTGTAGACCCAAATTATGTATCCCAAAGAAATAGAAAGAATTAAAGTAAACAGAGATTAAGGGATAAAACGTAGGTCATGAAGCAGTGAGTTTGTAGCTCCAGTTTGACCTATCAAATGAATGAGTTAAGCCACAAAATTTGGTAGATTCATAGTACACATCCCAAGCTTTAAAAGGAGAGGTAGATCTCCTCAATCGGATTTGTACACAATGAGATACGATTTTTATAGAATTAGTTATGATTGTTGAGATTGGGCTTATAATTTGGAATTTGAGCAGTGAATAGTAACCGGAGTAATTATGTTGAAAATTTTAATCCACGGGCTTGTACTTTGACTTGCTTGAACCATAACGCTTATGAATGCGTACTCTGAGGGGTTAAAGATAGGATGTTTCTAGTAGTGTGCTGTTGTGGCCATGGACAATTTTTTCATAATGGGCAACAGCCACTTCCCAAGTCAATTGCTGATTAATGGGTTAGGAGTTCATATTATTTTTAAATGGAAAAAATAAAACGGGTTAATTTTTTTAGCAAAAAATAAAACAGGTTATTAAGACATTAATTTGTTCCCTTATATATATAATATATGACAACACAAAAATCATTATAGGTAATAACATTTTATATTTAAAATTTCTACATATATTACCTTAGGATATGCAAGATCTGCTTGTACATGTTGAAAAAATATCGCTGGATTTCTTAGGCATTTATTTTTGCTCTCCTTCGTCAAATGCAGTTTTTATGTTTATCTACATTTTAGTGTATCTTTGTTTTACATGAATATTAATTCGTTCTCAGCGTTCAGTTTAACTTATCATTCTTACTCACTCATTCCCTTAGTGCATATTAACCATGGCATAATAGATTATAGTGTAATCATGTTACATAAGGGATTATATGTTCTGGAGTTCTTTTTCTTTTAAAAATTTTTTTTCCATGTCTTTTATTTTTTTTCCCTTCAGTGCAGCGGTGAACACACAATGATTTTAATCAGCCAGCATGGTAGTGCATAATTAAGGGATGGCAATCAATGTTTTTGAACCGGTGCTAAAAAAAAATTTAGTTCTGTTGCGACTGTAAATAAGTAATAATATTATATGGAATTTTTGTATATATGACTCCCTGAAATTGATTACAAGAATTAAAAATAATTCCTTTGAATTTTTTGCTGGATAAATTTTATTTTTTGTTCAAAATAGAATGTGGGGGAGGTCATGTAGATGGTAATGCACGAGGCTAAAAATAAACTGTATATAATATTTCTTGTGCGGATACGATCTTGGGTCTTGGTGTGTGGCCAGATTACGATCTTAAGTCTAAATATATACTTTTCTTATCTATATTTTTAAATAGATAGATTTCAGGTCACGCGTTAGTGAGAATATATGGAATGACTCCAACATCAAATCAAAATTAACTAAAAAGTAATAATCACTAATATCTCCTGACCAACTCTTTTTCCCCCTCGATTTTATCATACTCTAACCAAAATAATGTATGTCAATATATGCGTGAAAACATGCAATTTCTTATTTAACTAAATCGTCACAGGTGAAAGACGTGCTTCCTTTCAACTGCCACCACTTCCTCACGTCTTCAATTCAAATGTCACGTATACATATATCTTTTTAGGTTAGATGTATTTTTATTTTTTGCTCACTATTTGAAAATCGGTTGCCCACTATGCGCACAATTATATAGTATTCTATTCTTTGTAACCGCTACGTATTATGGGTGTCTACTGTTGCGTCTATAAAAGATTCTTCATCAGACCATATTTACGTGTGCTTATATTGTCTCGGTGTTTTACAGTGGATTTGTTGGTCACATATAAAACATGTCATATTCTCCCGCGTTTGCACCAGTCCATCTAATCAATTCCGATCGTGATGCTTGGTGTATCAGAGTTAGAATTGTGCATTTATGGCCAATGCCACCACGATATTCTAGGGAAGAAATTTCTTCTCTTGAAATGATCTTGCAGGACAAACACGTTGACACTCAACTAATCTTTTCTCATATGTTGTTTTTGTTTTAGATATGTGGTGTGAGTAAAGATGTAGAGATTTTTCATATTTGTTATACTAATTTAATTTTAAGGCATATGAACTAGGGTGATCAAGTGCATGCCACTATCCGCAGCATGTTCGTTCCCCATTATTGCAAGAGCTTGCACCAAGGAAAAACCTACATTATCTCGCACTTTCGTGTTTTTCCCAATAAGGGGACATACAAAACTATACGGATCATCTTTATAGAGTGTATTTCAAGTACACAACCTTTATAACAGCCTGTGAAGACAATGGACATATACATCCTTATGGTGTTCAGTTCAAGAGATTTACAGAGATAACAAATGCACAGTTTGACAGTAGATATTTAGGGTCCGTTTGGATCAGCGATTGGAAAAGTAGCTTATAGAGAAGTGAAATTAAAAAAAGCTAAATTGGATAAGCTGAATTGTGTTTGGATTAGAGTTCAGAAAAGCTAGATTGCAAAAGTGAGATTGGTAAAAGGTTGTTTGGATTATGATTGAGTAAAAGTAAATTTGGTTGTAAAATGACCAAAATAGATATGAGTTTTAATAAATAATGAAACATGATTAAAAAAATAATTTCACATAATACAATGAAATTAAAATAATTTAATATGAAGAAGTCATAAAAAATATTTTAAATATAAAGTGAAACATGAAACAATAAAAGTATATTTTTAGGAGCATATTTAAAAATAAAAATATATTTCTAACTTATTCATTACTTTCAACTAATTTTAATTGATTTTTTATTATCTACAAATTAGTTATAATAAGAACCAAAAGAGGTAATAAATTTTTTAACTTTTTCTCTTTCCATATTTCAAAAGCCATAAACTATAAGTCATAAGCTGTTAATTTTAGCTTATAGCTTATTGTAACTTTTCAGAAAAAAGCCCGATTGCAAAAAAGCTGATCCAAACAGATCCAATTTTGTTAATCGAGCTTATAGAGCTTATAAGCTACTTATAAGCTCCAAATAAGTGATGCCAAACAGGCACTTAGTTGGTTAGTAGACAACTTAATATAACATACACTCTTGTATTTTTATAGCTCTATTATCAAGACACTTAATAAACAACTATTTGTTTTGCGTGTAGATGTCATTGGGATGTTGAGTAGGGTTGGCTGGCCGTATGAATTTGAAGTGTGACAACCGCTCTTTCAAAACCATTTTAGATTAAATCCAACAATTTATCTGAATGATTAACCATGATAGAAAAGAAGAAACCTTAAAATTTTAAAATCGCTATCATAGTTAAAAGAAATAAACTTATAATAAGAGTAACATCGATCATTACCTTGGGCCTTGGACTTTCAAAGTCCAGAAATATCATTCAACCATTAGCCCAAACCAAACTTATATTTTCAACCATACGAACTGATAAATCAATTTAATATAAACTATAGAGCTCATTAGTCAAAAGTCAACACTTTCAAAGGAGCGTTACATGCAGAGTATAAAATGTCTCGGGCCTCCTCACGGCCCTATCATACCAGATAGTAGTAATTAAAAGTATTATTTTACATCATGAGAGTAGATGAGCCCTATGTGGCAATATATAACAAGTCAGCACATAGAACAAAAGCAGGGAGGCTATACAAGCTATAACAGCACACTATGTCTCCGGAGCCTTCCCTGATGGGCCACCACCTGAACTATCGCCTGAAAATGTTAAACCACGGGGTGAGACAAATGCCTCAGTAACCAACTTTCCAACTCATCATACATACTAACACGTGCTCGTGAGGTGTCAAGTGGGACAGTTATTAATTCTCGAGAACTATAGATATATCCATAGAAATATAATTTCAATCATCCAAACCCTCACTATGGGGGCCAACACACAAGCCACATAAATCTATCCCTCACTCTGGGGGATCAATCAAACATATGGGCCTATCTCTCACTCTGGGGGACGAATAAGAAGCCACAAAGGCCTATCCCTCACTATGGGGGACGAAAGAAGAAGCCAACCAATGTGCACCAATGGCGGCCTTACCACGTGGTAGGATAGGACTCAATCCCAAAATCCAAATAACAACCAATCATTCACAATATAATAAAAATATCTCAATTTTTTCTCAGTATAATCCGTAAGATATAAATCATATATCTTTTCCAAACTTCTCAATCACAATTCCAAAAATCCCACAAGACAATTTTCATAGCTCAAAAGATATAATATATCTACTCAAGTTCCAAATATCAAATATTATTCTAAAAATAACAAAATACTCACAAACAACATATTAGCACATATAACAAGTGGAAAGTGGTTACCTCTCACCAAAGCAATATTAAGGATTACCATAAGGTCAATCCTTTGCTCACCCAATAATTAATCTACACAATTAATATAATCACATATTAATATAAACTAATTAATTAATTAATTAAACTTCTCTATATTATTTAAATTTTTACTCTAAATTCCCGCAACTCTCATAACTAAAAAATTATTAAGTATTTTAGAAACAACTTAAAATTTCTAACAACCCCAAATTATTTATTTACCATCTCCAAATTATTTACCTTAATAAAAAGGATTTTTCATAATTTCCAAATATAAAATTACTATGTTCTAAATTCTAAAAATCTTCATTTAAGTTTAAACCTCAAAATCACACTATCAAAAATTCAATAATACTTCAAATATTTATAACTAAATAATATAATCAAAACTTTAATGGTATAACTACCATACATATATTTCCATAAATAATAAACTTTTTAGCTACAATAATTATTTTAAAACCTCCAATCACCCAATAAATAAAACTAAACCGATTAAAATCTCAATAATATATCAAACAATCCAAATAAATTATTTGACTTAAATTTAATCAGTAAAAATATGGTATATCCCATAAATAACAGATTTTCAACTAAATAAATTAATTTAAATACTAAAACTAGCAAATAGAGAAATCTAAACCGATTAAAATTAACAACTCATTTACTTCTAAATTTCTATAGTCATCTTTTATCAAAACTCAATACTTATATCATATATAAATCTCAAATTTTCTCTAATCACTATGATAATACTACTATTAGGAAGCATAAAATATATATGAAATATTTATGAAGAAAGTTTGATGAAAAGAGATAATTTCATGTACCTAAAATATCTTCAAAGCTTGCCCTTTACTTCATCGGTATGCTCCTCTCTCTCACACACTTCAGCTCTCTCTTCCTCTCTTTTCTTCTTCTCTTTCTCTCTTTCTTCTTGCGCCTACCGGAGGGAAATGAATTGTGGGGGGTATTTAACACCCCCACACAATTATTGGGGGAGGGGGTTTTTCAAACCCAACCCCCACGTTTTCCACCCTCCCCCCAATTTTCCACCCCCCTCCAACTTTCCACCGAAATATCGGTGGAAAGTTGGACTTTTTTTTTTTAAATATTATAATAAAATATTATTATATTATATTATATTATTTTTCAATTATTATTTTTTATTTTTTATTTTTTAAGGATATTACATGAAGTCAATGGATGCAAACACCGCAGAGTAGATGTCGAGCTTATAGATGAAGAGTAATATCACTCAAAGCCTATTAGTATTTTATAGAATTTTTCATCCGAAACCATTGTTTCAGTAATTTCTTATAACATTTCAAGGTTCCTTAAAAATTGCAGGATGGAGTCTTTGAATTGCACTTTGTCAGGAGCGTTTGTAGGTGAAATTGTTGACTTTCTTTCTTATGCTACCATGGGGTGTGTTCTTGTTATATTACAACTGTTCAAAGTTCGACAAGTTTGTGGTATGGTTTTGAATTTAAATGGTCAATGTGTATAGATCTTGTATATTATACATTTTGTTATCTGTTATCTCACTTCCTTCGCTTTTTTTTTAATTGGTTAATTAACCAGGATGGACAATGATTATGAACACCTCATTTTCATCAAGACTCTTTATCCAACCTTCGTTTGATGAGGTGGCTCACTATCTTACTAAGTAAGTAAATAATAATTCTTACTCTGTGCACCCTTTACTTTCTATAACTTGCAAAAAAAATGACATGAATTCAATGAAACAATATGTTAGACTAAAGGCAGTTGGGATAGATGTTGAACAAGCTCCGGCACGAACAACTAATCAGTTTGTTGCTCATATCAAAGATGAATTCTTAACTATACAGGATCGGCGTAATATTTCTAAACTACAAGCAGGACTTGTATGTATATCCAGTTGTAAAGACCAACACGTATTCATTTTTTCATTGAGGAAACTGTTGAAATATCACCGCAATGTATCTAATGTTGATCTAAAAATTCTAGGGTGCAGTTGTAATTGTTCTAGCAACTATTGTTGATATTCAAGTGGGACAACAGTGGTGTTATTATTGTTGTGAGGATTGTGACACTGAGGCTCTCATGGATGGTGATGAGTTCTTTTGTCCAAACTACTACGAAATTGTGATGGTTAGTGACCCAAAGTTAGTAAATCAATAGTTATTAGCAATATAAATCAATTCTTAATTGCATGTGCAGCTACAAATGTTGTTGACCTGTTTTGAGTATCTTAGGTACATGCTGCATTGTATTGTGCAAGATGCATATGGCACCTGCGGTTTTATTATTCCTAAATGTGGACTCTCGGGGTTGTTGGGAGATGCAGCTGCAGATTTGGGTCATCACTATATTCGACAACAAAAAACTATCGAGGTTATAATACAATATTGTATGCTTTTGTGTTGCACAAATATATTAGCTTGTACTCCTACCACATTCGTAAAAATCACATATATATATGTGTATATATACACATATATGTGTATATGTATATATGCGCGCACATAACAATACAACTTTCTACTATATACTCAACAATATATACATGTCTTTTTCAACCTAATGATGTTCTTCATGCTTAACTATGTAGATTATGCATTTTAATGATGCCATTGCAAATATTAGAGATAAAAGCAGGGGAATCCAGTATCTTTTCAAAGTGTGCGTCACCAATGACTATATAATGGGTAGATCCTAAAATTGTTATGTGCGTGCATTGACAAAGGACAAGAATTTGATTAAAGCATACATGGATAACTTCAATGACGAAGTGAAGTTGTCAAGTGAATTTGAGGATGAGTTATTCACAGATAAGGTTCGTAAAAATTTACTATTGTTTTTTTCTTTGTATAAACTACGCTGGATCTTCTTAGACTGTGTGTGTTATTGTTCTATTCAGTGTTCACAAATGTCAGTGGTGGACTCAGATGGCGGTGGTTCTTCTCCTGTTTTGTGCGATACAAAAACAACCTCCCATGTGTCCAGAGGAAAATACGAGATCAACACTGACAGCAGGGTTCCACGTACAGCACGGAAGAAATTGGACTTCTAAGTCACCAATTGGAATATTTTGTGCAAATCTCTTCTCTGCAATCAAATTTATTTTCGTTCTTCTTCATCAAATGCAGTTTTATGTTTATCTACGTTTTGGTGTATCTTTGTTTTACATGAATATTAATGCGTTCTCAGCGTTCAGTTTAACTTATTATTCTCACTCACTCATTCGCTTAGTGTGCATTAACCATGGCCTAATAGATTATAGTATAATCATATTACAAAAGGGATTATATGTTCTGGAGTTCTTTTTCTTAAAATTTTTTTTTTATCGATCTCTTTTATTATTTTTTCCTTTAGTGCAGCGTGAACACACAATGATTTTAATCAGCCAGCATGGTAGTGCATAATTAAGGGATGGCAATTAATTTTTTTGAACCGGTGATCTATATTATGTAATCACCTAAGGGTTTAACCAGTTACAAAACAATATATCAAATTACGTGTCTAAATGAAGTGAATATTATTTAAATGAACTCATCTATGCTAAAAATATATTCAGAATTTTTTAAAAACGCATACATGTGGCGCATACATGTGGGAGTTACATGAATGTCTTAAATGTACATATGAATCAAAGTTAAATTAATTAGTGTCAAGTATCCAATGCATTGCAAAATTATGATAACATAGGTGAGGTTTTAATTTGCGTTTCCACCAAGTTGATCATACCAAGATTATGTTAACTGAGGAAACCCAACTTACGTCATTTGAAACAATTAAATCCCAATTACGGTTTTACTTATGCGCAGCGAAACAGTTTACGGTTAACATAAATACTTGTGCAATTGTGTCACCGAGTTTTTTCTATCCTATTTATACTGTCAGTTCAAAAATTACACTATTGTCAAATTATAAATGGGAGTATACCCCTAGAATAATTAATGAGTAACTAGAACATGCGAATTCAAAATATGTTAAATTTTCTATCTAACATTTTAATAATTGATACATTAAGATTTATAGAAAAGGCCTTATTTGCCTCAATTCAAGTTAATAAAACCACCTTACTGGCATTTGTTTATGTTGTGATTTATTGTAACTTTTGTTACTCCTCCTATCCTTAATATAAGATCTATTTAACTAATTTGATTAGATTAAGAAAGTTAGGTAAGTTAGTTAATTATAAGAAATATGACATATTTTTTCTAAAACACTATAATCATCATCCTTAATATTCTCTCTCCCTCTTCTACTTGATTATGGTTAAGGAAGTATCCATAGGGGTGATTTAGAAAAAAATAATAAATATAAAAAATAACTCTTATATTTAAAACCAAAATTAACTCAACAGTTAGGTTCTATATTAAGGACCAGATGAGTATTGATTATATTAAAATCTTTATTGTGAAGATTTTTTTTTTATACACTAAGATAGTTTGCCCATGAATATTCTTCACAGAATACTTATTTAGAAAAAAAAATTATTTCTGTTGTGACCGTGAATAAGTAATAAGATTATATGGAATCTTTGTTTTTATGACTCACTAAAATTGATCACAACTTACAAGAATTAAAAATAATTCCTTTGAACTATTTTGTTGGATAAATTTTATTTTTTGTTCAAAACAGAATGTAGGGGAGGTAATTTAGATGGTAATTTACGAGGCTTAATTTAGCTATGTGGAATTTAGCATTTTTAAATTTATATGTTGATTTTTTTTTCCTCTTATCTGATTGCAATTTTTATGATCCTCCAAAATAAACTGCATATAATATTTCTTGTGCGGATACGATCTTCGTTCCTTTTTTTGTGTGTCGCCAAATTACGACCTTAGGTCTAAATATATACTTTTCTTATCTATATTTTTAAATAGATAGATTTCAGGTCACATGTTAGTGAGAATATATGGAATGACTGTAGCATCAAATCAAAATTAATTAAAAAGTAATAATCACTAATATCTCCTGACCAACTCCCCCCCCCCCAATTTTATCATACTCTAAACAAAATAACTAAACAAAATAATGTATGTCAATATATGTGAGAAAACACGCAATTTTTTATTTAACTAAGTCGTGACAAGTGCAAGACGTGCTTCCTTTCAACTGCCACCACTTTCTCACATCTTCAATTCATATGTCAGGTACGAGTGTTGTGTTTTCCTGCTGTGCACTTATGGCGGCATACTCAAACTAACTACCTCACAAGCTTTCATATAAAATATAGAACAGATTACATAAAGATAATGAATTGAATGAAGTGAAGACTATTCAAAGACAGCAGTCTCAATTCCAGCAAGTCTCAGCACGGCTAACGATGGCTCTTGCCCAACAGCAGTATTTTCTCTAGGTTTCTTTGTCTCATTTCTATATCAAAACGATGGCATATCACGATTTCTCACCTCGAACTACTTTTTTCTGTGACTACATTATATTGCTATTTTATCTGATGAATGATTACTTAGCTGTGGCATAATCTTCTATTCACACAGTAGCCTACTATTCTCCATTCATGGAATCTACCATGTTTATCAATATTCAACCTATCAGATATGTTGTTTTTATCATGGCTGTTGCAACTCGATAACATTTCTCATGTTTGCCGATCTATTTGATTGTATTTGGAATCTATGTATAGTATGACCTGTCTAATAATTATCTTTGTATAATCTGCAATTTCGTCAGAAAATACTATGTTTGCCATGGCACGAGCTCAACGCTTAGATATACTCAGGAAAAAGAAGAGAAAATGTTATGGATATGTTGACGATGTGTATGAATTTTTTGGGTTATTTAGCTATCTATTGTGGACATTCTTCGGTATTGGCTTAACAATACATTTACATGCTATCTACCTCCTCAGAAA